CCGGCCCCCGCTCCCACCAGCCTTGCCTTTCGCGGGACGCTCAGCTGCAGTCATGCCAGACCACCGATACTGCTGGGCAAGAGAGTCCCGGTGCAGGGGAGTGCAGCCTGTATTTGTACTTGTCAGCCTCTCTCTAGACAGCTTAGTAGATGGCCCAGGATTCCCGGGTTCGCTCCTGGCTCTGCGAGTGACGCCGGGACTGGTCCCCCATCTGTGGGACACAAGTCGCTCACAGGGGAGTAGTGGAGATTATGGAATGGCTTTTTCTTTGGGATACTTTTCCTGCTGCATGTGCTTAATCTTGCTCTGTGGTACGATTTCCCTGGGACTCTGGGGGGAGGCTGTTTCATCCACCTTCTCTGTTCCAGGGAGCTGATGCTGCGGCTGAAGGGAACATCGCGAGTTTCTGGGCTGGCTGTGGCCATCTCCAAACCCAGCCCCCCACGAGGATTCTCCCCTGGCTTACAATGCCCAAACGATGGATTTGGTAAGGCAACGTGAACCCCTTGGTTTGGCTCGGGATGTGGGGGTCAGAGCAGGAAGGTTTTGCAAAAGACTGACAACCTGCAGCTCGACACTGGCTGTGGGGAGCTGGGCCGGTGCACAGACCCCGTTGGGCTTCCGCGGCTCTGTCCCCGCTGCTGGGCCGGTGCACAGACCCCGTTGGGCTTCCGCGGCTCTGTCCCCGCTGCTGGGCCGGTGCACAGACCCCGTTGGGCTTCCGCGGCTCTGTCCCCGCTGCTGGGCCGGTGCACAGACCCCGTTGGGCTTCCGCGGCTCTGTCCCCGCTGCTGGGCCGGTGCACAGACCCCGTTGGGCTTCCGCGGCTCTGTCCCCGCTGCTGGGCCGGTGCACAGACCCCGTTGGGCTTCCGCGGCTCTGTCCCCGCTGCTGGGCCGGTGCACAGACCCCGTTGGGCTTCCGCGGCTCTGTCCCCGCTGCTGGGCCGGTGCACAGACCCCGTTGGGCTTCCGCGGCTCTGTCCCCGCTGCTGGGCCGGTGCACAGACCCCGTTGGGCTTCCGCGGCTCTGTCCCCGCTGCTGGGCCGGTGCACAGACCCCGTTGGGCTTCCGCGGCTCTGTCCCCGCTGCTGGGCCGGTGCACAGACCCCGTTGGGCTTCCGCGGCTCTGTCCCCGCTGCTGGGCCGGTGCACAGACCCCGTTGGGCTTCCGCGGCTCTGTCCCCGCTGCTGGGCCGGTGCACAGACCCCGTTGGGCTTCCGCGGCTCTGTCCCCGCTGCTGGGCCGGTGCACAGACCCCGTTGGGCTTCCGCGGCTCTGTCCCCGCTGCTGGGCCGGTGCACAGACCCCGTTGGGCTTCCGCGGCTCTGTCCCCGCTGCTGGGCCGGTGCACAGACCCCGTTGGGCTTCCGCGGCTCTGTCCCCGCTGCTGGGCCGGTGCACAGACCCCGTTGGGCTTCCGCGGCTCTGTCCCCGCTGCTGGGCCGGTGCACAGACCCCGTTGGGCTTCCGCGGCTCTGTCCCCGCTGCTGGGCCGGTGCACAGACCCCGTTGGGCTTCCGCGGCTCTGTCCCCGCTGCTGGGCCGGTGCACAGACCCCGTTGGGCTTCCGCGGCTCTGTCCCCGCTGCTGGGCCGGTGCACAGACCCCGTTGGGCTTCCGCGGCTCTGTCCCCGCTGCTGGGCCGGTGCACAGACCCCGTTGGGCTTCCGCGGCTCTGTCCCCGCTGCTGGGCCGGTGCACAGACCCCGTTGGGCTTCCGCGGCTCTGTCCCCGCTGCTGGGCCGGTGCACAGACCCCGTTGGGCTTCCGCGGCTCTGTCCCCGCTGCTGGGCCGGTGCACAGACCCCGTTGGGCTTCCGCGGCTCTGTCCCCGCTGCTGGGCCGGTGCACAGACCCCGTTGGGCTTCCGCGGCTCTGTCCCCGCTGCTGGGCCGGTGCACAGACCCCGTTGGGCTTCCGCGGCTCTGTCCCCGCTGCTGGGCCGGTGCACAGACCCCGTTGGGCTTCCGCGGCTCTGTCCCCGCTGCTGGGCCGGTGCACAGACCCCGTTGGGCTTCCGCGGCTCTGTCCCCGCTGCTGGGCCGGTGCACAGACCCCGTTGGGCTTCCGCGGCTCTGTCCCCGCTGCTGGGCCGGTGCACAGACCCCGTTGGGCTTCCGCGGCTCTGTCCCCGCTGCTGGGCCGGTGCACAGACCCCGTTGGGCTTCCGCGGCTCTGTCCCCGCTGCTGGGCCGGTGCACAGACCCCGTTGGGCTTCCGCGGCTCTGTCCCCGCTGCTGGGCCGGTGCACAGACCCCGTTGGGCTTCCGCGGCTCTGTCCCCGCTGCTGGGCCGGTGCACAGACCCCGTTGGGCTTCCGCGGCTCTGTCCCCGCTGCTGGGCCGGTGCACAGACCCCGTTGGGCTTCCGCGGCTCTGTCCCCGCTGCTGGGCCGGTGCACAGACCCCGTTGGGCTTCCGCGGCTCTGTCCCCGCTGCTGGGCCGGTGCACAGACCCCGTTGGGCTTCCGCGGCTCTGTCCCCGCTGCTGGGCCGGTGCACAGACCCCGTTGGGCTTCCGCGGCTCTGTCCCCGCTGCTGGGCCGGTGCACAGACCCCGTTGGGCTTCCGCGGCTCTGTCCCCGCTGCTGGGCCGGTGCACAGACCCCGTTGGGCTTCCGCGGCTCTGTCCCCGCTGCTGGGCCGGTGCACAGACCCCGTTGGGCTTCCGCGGCTCTGTCCCCGCTGCTGGGCCGGTGCACAGACCCCGTTGGGCTTCCGCGGCTCTGTCCCCGCTGCTGGGCCGGTGCACAGACCCCGTTGGGCTTCCGCGGCTCTGTCCCCGCTGCTGGGCCGGTGCACAGACCCCGTTGGGCTTCCGCGGCTCTGTCCCCGCTGCTGGGCCGGTGCACAGACCCCGTTGGGCTTCCGCGGCTCTGTCCCCGCTGCTGGGCCGGTGCACAGACCCCGTTGGGCTTCCGCGGCTCTGTCCCCGCTGCTGGGCCGGTGCACAGACCCCGTTGGGCTTCCGCGGCTCTGTCCCCGCTGCTGGGCCGGTGCACAGACCCCGTTGGGCTTCCGCGGCTCTGTCCCCGCTGCTGGGCCGGTGCACAGACCCCGTTGGGCTTCCGCGGCTCTGTCCCCGCTGCTGGGCCGGTGCACAGACCCCGTTGGGCTTCCGCGGCTCTGTCCCCGCTGCTGGGCCGGTGCACAGACCCCGTTGGGCTTCCGCGGCTCTGTCCCCGCTGCTGGGCCGGTGCACAGACCCCGTTGGGCTTCCGCGGCTCTGTCCCCGCTGCTGGGCCGGTGCACAGACCCCGTTGGGCTTCCGCGGCTCTGTCCCCGCTGCTGGGCCGGTGCACAGACCCCGTTGGGCTTCCGCGGCTCTGTCCCCGCTGCTGGGCCGGTGCACAGACCCCGTTGGGCTTCCGCGGCTCTGTCCCCGCTGCTGGGCCGGTGCACAGACCCCGTTGGGCTTCCGCGGCTCTGTCCCCGCTGCTGGGCCGGTGCACAGACCCCGTTGGGCTTCCGCGGCTCTGTCCCCGCTGCTGGGCCGGTGCACAGACCCCGTTGGGCTTCCGCGGCTCTGTCCCCGCTGCTGGGCCGGTGCACAGACCCCGTTGGGCTTCCGCGGCTCTGTCCCCGCTGCTGGGCCGGTGCACAGACCCCGTTGGGCTTCCGCGGCTCTGTCCCCGCTGCTGGGCCGGTGCACAGACCCCGTTGGGCTTCCGCGGCTCTGTCCCCGCTGCTGGGCCGGTGCACAGACCCCGTTGGGCTTCCGCGGCTCTGTCCCCGCTGCTGGGCCGGTGCACAGACCCCGTTGGGCTTCCGCGGCTCTGTCCCCGCTGCTGGGCCGGTGCACAGACCCCGTTGGGCTTCCGCGGCTCTGTCCCCGCTGCTGGGCCGGTGCACAGACCCCGTTGGGCTTCCGCGGCTCTGTCCCCGCTGCTGGGCCGGTGCACAGACCCCGTTGGGCTTCCGCGGCTCTGTCCCCGCTGCTGGGCCGGTGCACAGACCCCGTTGGGCTTCCGCGGCTCTGTCCCCGCTGCTGGGCCGGTGCACAGACCCCGTTGGGCTTCCGCGGCTCTGTCCCCGCTGCTGGGCCGGTGCACAGACCCCGTTGGGCTTCCGCGGCTCTGTCCCCGCTGCTGGGCCGGTGCACAGACCCCGTTGGGCTTCCGCGGCTCTGTCCCCGCTGCTGGGCCGGTGCACAGACCCCGTTGGGCTTCCGCGGCTCTGTCCCCGCTGCTGGGCCGGTGCACAGACCCCGTTGGGCTTCCGCGGCTCTGTCCCCGCTGCTGGGCCGGTGCACAGACCCCGTTGGGCTTCCGCGGCTCTGTCCCCGCTGCTGGGCCGGTGCACAGACCCCGTTGGGCTTCCGCGGCTCTGTCCCCGCTGCTGGGCCGGTGCACAGACCCCGTTGGGCTTCCGCGGCTCTGTCCCCGCTGCTGGGCCGGTGCACAGACCCCGTTGGGCTTCCGCGGCTCTGTCCCCGCTGCTGGGCCGGTGCACAGACCCCGTTGGGCTTCCGCGGCTCTGTCCCCGCTGCTGGGCCGGTGCACAGACCCCGTTGGGCTTCCGCGGCTCTGTCCCCGCTGCTGGGCCGGTGCACAGACCCCGTTGGGCTTCCGCGGCTCTGTCCCCGCTGCTGGGCCGGTGCACAGACCCCGTTGGGCTTCCGCGGCTCTGTCCCCGCTGCTGGGCCGGTGCACAGACCCCGTTGGGCTTCCGCGGCTCTGTCCCCGCTGCTGGGCCGGTGCACAGACCCCGTTGGGCTTCCGCGGCTCTGTCCCCGCTGCTGGGCCGGTGCACAGACCCCGTTGGGCTTCCGCGGCTCTGTCCCCGCTGCTGGGCCGGTGCACAGACCCCGTTGGGCTTCCGCGGCTCTGTCCCCGCTGCTGGGCCGGTGCACAGACCCCGTTGGGCTTCCGCGGCTCTGTCCCCGCTGCTGGGCCGGTGCACAGACCCCGTTGGGCTTCCGCGGCTCTGTCCCCGCTGCTGGGCCGGTGCACAGACCCCGTTGGGCTTCCGCGGCTCTGTCCCCGCTGCTGGGCCGGTGCACAGACCCCGTTGGGCTTCCGCGGCTCTGTCCCCGCTGCTGGGCCGGTGCACAGACCCCGTTGGGCTTCCGCGGCTCTGTCCCCGCTGCTGGGCCGGGCCGGCATGCAGACCCCCTTGGTCTGCCAGCACTCACGGGCTGCCCCGCCCCCCCCCACTCTCATGGCCCTGCTACTGAGCACCTGGCCCCGCTACCACCAGCCTTGCCTTTCGCGGGACGCTCAGCTGCAGTCTTGCCAGACCACCGATACTGCTGGGCAAGAGAGTCCCGGGGCAGGGG